AACGGTTAATAAAGACAATTGATTTAATAGTACGTCCCATGCTGTTATGGTTTTACCTTCTTCTTTAAATAATTTAATCATTTTAAGTGACTCTTTCATGTTTGATTGAAGAACGAATGATATTTGATTCATTTTGTCGTGGATATTATAGTCCTTTTGAATGAAATATTTATTTCCACAATCTACAAAACGGATTACACGTGATAAATCCTCAATTACTTCAGAACTGTTTTTATACTGATGATTTTCAGCCTTGCGTCTAATATCTGTTATCAAAATCGAGTCATCAAGTTTTATATAGGGTGTCCAAAGGTGCGTTTAGCACAGCGCTCTATATGAGACTATTAAAGGAGATATATGCTGATTATAAATATATAATAAAAAATATGAATATATGTATATGATGAGTATGTTGTATTTTGGCGCCATGCCGGGATATAAAATGAATTTTGAGACAAGAGGCGGTTTCGCGGGAAATTTTGGCGGGATTTTTTTTCATTTTTTTAATGAATCATAAAGAAAACATCCTCGCTCTTCAAAAAAATGCAAAGACTGTAAAAAAATCTACGAGACATTGGTAAAATGCTTCGGTATGGATGCTCCTAGCTATTCCACTGTAACGTATCATGTTAGGATGTATCACTTCATGAACAAAAAGGCGCCCATCATAAAAATTGACAAAAAATCGCCGGATCAAAGAAAAATCAAAGCAATTCTTCAAGCGCTAGATGAAGACCCAAGAGCATCACTCAGAAGGATAGAGGAGATGACAAAGATACCACGTACAACAGTCAGTTATTATCTGCACAATTATTTGAACTACAAACTAGCGTATACACGTTGGGTTCCGCACAACCTTAATTCAGTTCAAAAAAAATCTAGAGTCCAATCTTCGAAAGAGCTCCTCTCTATATTGGGTGCGTATCAATCCAAGAAGTTTCGCTTTTTAGTAACAGGGGACGAGTCTTGGTTTCAATATGCAACAGAAGCCAAAATCATGTGGATCCCGAAGGATGAAAATCCGCAAACATTCCCGAAGAAAAAAATTGACACACCAATGATGATGTTGTCGGTTTTTTGGGGCGTGAATGGCATCATCGCAATTGATATTCTTCAAAAACCTAATACGATGAGTGCTCAGTATCTAATTGACAATGTTCTTACTCAAATTATCAATTCTGATAAGTTTGAGAAATCCAAACAACAAAAACAAAAGTTTGCAATTCATTTTGATAATTCAAGAGTTCACAAAAGTCATAAGGTAATGAATTACTTGGTGGAAAACAATGTCAAAGTTGTTCCAAACCCAATTTATTCACCTGATATTGCACCCTCTGACTTTTATTTATTCGGCACGCTAAAAAAGAGAGCTGAAGGACGCGAATTCGCGAGTCCAGATGATCTTGAAAATTTTGTAAGAGAGCAATTTGAGCAATTTTCTCATGATGATTTAAAGCGTGTCTTTCAAGCCTGGATCGATCGCTGCGAACGCGTGATTGAATCCAATGGTGATTATATTTAAATAAACTTTATATATATGTAACTTGTTTATTTCTATTCGCAGTATTCAGGTTTGTGCTAAACACACCTTTGGACACCCTATATATCAAATGTTATTTTTGGCTTACGTAATAAAGGTAAAACGTATTCATCATAATATTCCTTTTGGTATAGTTTTAGAATCTTCACCAAAACAAATGGAGAAGTCATTAAATGTGCATATCTACTACGTGCTTTTTCAAAATTACTTTTTGCATTTTCAGTTAAATTGCAGAAGTTATAAACGTTATCGTATGCTTCATTAATCAAATGATCCGGTAACGAATTAATAGCTTGAAACAGTGTGAATAATGTAACTTCTTTTTCTAAATTCATGTTTCCACCGTCATTATGTACTTCAAAATCACTAATACCATCGACTATGCTTTGAGCTAGTTTATCGTCAATGTTTACATCTTTGTTTTCATTCATTATACTCTTTATTTCATCGTTCTTCTGTTCAACTCTTACCTTAATATTCAAATCATTTAATATATCATTCACTGTTCTAGTTAATGTTGAATCGTAACTTCCACGAATGAATGAGTATGTTTTGATTGGTTCTGTTGCATTCTTGCGAACTCTTGAATCAGCCATAACTACTAAAGAACGCTTTGAATCATCAATAGAAGTCATGATATCGATATCATAATCATTGCAAGAATAGCATTTAATCATTCTGTTCGAAACTGCATAAAAGAAATTAGTGTTGCAATAAATGTGAAGACCTCCTGAAGCGGTTTTAACGATAACATCTTTATCCGAAAGTTTTGATAGAATGTCTTTTCTAACTGTTTCTTTAAGTTCATCATTGTACGATTTATTGATATCAACATCTATAATCGTTAAATTTGATATTTTATTTACTAATAAAGCCACACCAGTTTTCCTTCCTCTTCCTCCATCATGTTTGAGGTAGTTATGTAAATCAATCTTGTTTTCACCAATTCTTTCGTTGAGGGTTTTAGTTTCTGCCGTAACTAATTCCTCAGCTAATGAATCAATAACTTTTTCATCAGAAACGATATAGTTGCTGTTGTTGTTTGTTGCTGTCATTTATATAGGAATAAAAAAATAAAAATAATTTTAAAACTAACTTTATTTTTGGGCTGCATCAAATTTCCAGGACTGTTGTCAAAATGTCATGTTGTCATCATTTTTTAAAGAAGTTAATTAACCTGGTGACATGGTGACGTGGTGACACCTTCATAATTTATGAAAACATTAATGAAAACATTAATATATAAAATTCATGAAAATTCAAGACCCTTTGGGTCTCGCCGCTTAGCGGCTGAGGGTAGAAATGAGAGTAGAAATTAGGTTAGATATACCAATCTACCCTAAACATTATTTTTTGTGGTCATGGGCTATGCCCCGCCGCTTTGCGTCTTTATGACAAAAATAAATGGTTCATTTACTCACAATATTTTTGTACAAAACGACCCCAAACTTTTAACTTCTTTTCTGCAGCTTCTAATGCTATCTTAGCGAGTTCATATTCTCTAAATTCTCTCTTTAAATCTTCTTGTTCCCATTGGTCTAGTTCGTATGGAGAATCTCTATAACCATAACATATCTCACGTTCATGTTCTAATTGTTTTTCGCGCATTTTTCTAACTTCTTGTTCGAACAAAGGTTTAGCACTCTCTACTGTATCTTCGAGTTCTTCTTCATCTAACTTCTCATGAACTTTCTTGTCTATGGAGTCCATAATATCTTTGACATAAAATGCATACTTTACAGAGCACCATTCAGCAACAAAATGAACGAGGTCAGGATGTATGTAAATACCTTTGAATTCATTTATAACACCCTTAGTAAGCTCATAAAATGCTTGTTTTGAGGTCGAGCCACTTTTGGCTCGACCGTATTCTTTCAACCAAAACTCAAGAATTTCCTGCATTTTAGCACTATTGAGAAATCTGTTTAAATGGTTTAACCTTCCCGCTTCTCTTGCCATCTTTGTTGCATTAATGTAACCATCCTTGTCTCTACGTAAGACTTCAATACCGTTATAAGTGCCTTTTGTGAATGTTTCGCCATTAGATTTGTTCGTGAATGTTTTTGCTTCGACTGACATTTCTGTTCTTACATACAAAATAAAAAAAATAAATAAAAATAAAACTAACTTTATTTTTTCTATCTTAAGGAAATTCATGAAAATTCAAGACCCTTTGGGTCTCGCCGCTTAGCGGCTGAGGGTAGAAATCGGGTTAAATATCGGGTTAGATCTAACCATCTACCCTAAAATATATTTCTGCAGTTCATCCGCTACATTATTAACTAATTAACTTCAGACATAAAATATATTTAGTTTAGAAGAATTTTCTTATTCTTTCTGGCATATTTTTGTCTTTCCAATACTCCCGCTCTAATGGTCCCAGATGTGTTGGCTTTGACTCTCTCAAGTTCTTAGATGGTATAACATCTTCAACGCCTCCTTCATATCTTACTTTATAAGTGTCATCGTTTATGTTATAGCCAAGTATTTCAATAACCACTCCTCGCTTTGCTTCGTCAATGGTTTCAGCAAGTTTGCCATTACTACTTTCAACTAACTTATGTCGAGGGTAAAATGCTATGGAGTCGTCAGCAGCTTTTATAAGATATCCATTACCTTGCGTAGAGTCTACGATATAATAGTTTCTACTTAACCTTAAACGTTTCTTTGTCAACGGTTTGTCGTCAAGAACTACACGAACTTTTGTACCAGGAATGAGGGTAAATTGTGTTGAATTTCTGATATTTTGTGTTTGGCTTCGTTTCTTTTGTATATACTTTTCTTCTTGTTGTTGTGTCATTGAATTTGGTGTATGTCCTGTTGTAGAATGTGTTGAGGAATTATATACTTCGAGAAAATGTTTCATTGTTTCTTCGGTAAAGTCTCGCTCTTGATTTAAATCTCTGAGAGTCCTTATGAAGCGGTTTATGATGCCGAGTATGTTATGGTTATGGTCTTCAGTAGTGTAGTGAGTTATGTTATGCTTAATGAGAAAATCTGTGATTTCATTGCTGAGGTATGCACTGTCTTGGTCTGATGTTAAAGTACTTGGGTTATGTTCTGCTACAAACTTTTGTAAAACTCTTAACACTTCACGAGTTCCTTTATTTTTCATTGGATATGCATATGCTTTGCGAGTGTTAACATTAATGAAGATGAGGAATGGTTTATGTCCTCCTTTTCTGCTTTGAATGAGAGTGTCAAATTGGTATGCGTCAGGAGTGTTGGAGTAAATTGGTAAAAAGTAGTCGTAAGGGTTTATTTTTGTTTGATGTACAACATTTTTGTCAAAGAACTTTTTCACTTCAGCTCTGTTAGTAAATCCCCAACTTTTTGCTGCTTCATTGAACTTCTTAAATGACCTCCATGGATGTTGTTCGAATACTTCTTTCAAGCTCATTTATGTAAAGTTAAAGATTTTATTCAAGACGGTAAGCCCGCAAAGCAGACTCAAGCGCGTTCAATGAACGCGGTACCATGCATAAACCGTCATAAATGGTGGCATATAATCTTCACCCGAGCCTGTTGGATTTGTTGTGAAAGTATGGACATGATTTCCTCCTGGTTCAGTTGGTCGAAAAGTCTTTTTTGCTGAATTGTTATAAGACGGAGATAAAACGTCATTGCCAGCTTCATAGTCTGAGTTGTATAATGGGTGGTCTCTTAATGAGTGGCTATGGTCGCCAGAAAAGTTTGTAGTTCCTGTATGCTTATGCGGTGGAAGGTTTGCTTCTAAAATTTTCTTTGAACCACCTGTTTGCTTTGAAGAGTTAGCACAGTATAAGAATTTATCTACAATCTGCTGCCATGTACCGAAACCTAAAACACTTGCTGGATTTGTTGAGTTCATTGACGTATAAATAGAGCCTATAGGATATACTGTTTGAAGTATTTCAGTCTTTAATGTTTGAAGCTCTGTTTTGTCTGCTTTCTTATCATATAAATCTTGAGCAGTGAATTTAACATTATTTTCATCATCCATGACATAAACATTTTTACAGCTAATTTCTTTCTTCGTTGTTATGTTTTCATTCGATGTTAAACCTTGTGGAAAGTTAGGAGGTTTATAATATAATGCATCCCCACCAGTTCCGCCAACCGTTCCTTCAATACTTTCTATAGCAACAGTTGAGAAGGAGTTATGTGTATGTTCTTTATCTGCTTTTTTATCTAACATTGCTGGTAGTTCATATGTTTCAAAGTTTCTGACATGACCTTCGATATTTATACATTTGTTATTTAAGGAGTTTAGTGTATCTTTTACGCTTGTACTTGGATTCTCTAAAGGTGCACTTGAACCTAAAGTATAGTTCAATATTATGTCGTCTGCTCTAACAGTAGTGAAGGATTCATGTGTATGGTTCTTGTCTGCTTTTTTATCTAACGTAGCCTGAAGTTCATTTATATCGGAGATATTGTGTTTATGAGATTTCAAAACTTTGTTCATTGCGTCAAGTTCATCTTTGTCAGCTTTACTTTTAATAGCATCTTCAAAAGTTATTTTTGCCTTAACTCTCAATGTAAATCTCGGTTCAACTAATACACCATTAACAGAGAAACTAGAAGCATAAATTTCATCGTTATAACCAAATGCTTCTGGTGCTTTACCTGTGTCATACTGTACAGTACAGCGTATGTCATAACCTTCAGCACGAATGTATTTATATCTTCTTTCATTAACATCTTTCGTCTTCACTTCTTCATCCTGTGTTAAATATCCGTGGTAGTCCGTTATAATCTGTTCGTCTGAACTTATATAATGAACATGGTTTTGTCTGCTTTTTCGGCTAATTTCTCTTCTATCTCATTTATTTCAAGTTCATGCCTACCACCACCTCCTTCAGAAGTATTTTTCTTCAGCTCTTGAAGAACATCCACTTCACCATCTTCGGTGTCAATAATGAGACTTTGTGTTAAAACTTTTCCTGTCTTAATGGATGTTTGTAAAACTTCTTCTTCACCGTGTTCGGGGTCATGGTCGTCATCATATCTTGTGAAATCAGAGATGTTGTCATACATTAAGCATATCTGTCTCAAAAGTTCTGCTATTTGAAACTGGAACGAAAGATATACAGAACTTTCATCATCTCCTAAAGTCAAGTCTGCTTTCTTAAGTATTTCTTGAATGTATGCAATGAGAACAGAGTACCTTGGAAAATATTCGAACAATATTTCATTAGCTGTTGGTTTTGGTGATTCCTCTGGAGTTTCTGTTGTTTTCTTATATACGAAAAAAAGAGATCTGACATTGTGTCAGATCTCAGTAAAAGTGACATTTACATGTCAAAAAAATAGAATGAGTTTAAGTAATTAAAATTGAGGGTGAGAGTAGTATTGTATGAAATAATATCTCTCACCCTCCAATTCATCCTATGGCGCCGAAAAAATTTTGGTGAAATGCGACCACATTTCACCAAAATTTCTCGGCGCCATATAGAGAACTAGAGCCTGTGAGGTACTGATACTATCCATGTACCTCGCAGGCTCTAGTTCCAAGCCAAAATGGCTAAAAATTGCCCGCAATGTGAACAATTGCGGGCAATTTTTAGCCATTTTGGCTGGGAATTGGAGGGTGAGAGTAGTATTGTATGAAATAATCTCTCACCCTCCAATTCATCCTATGGCGCCGAAAAAATTTTGGTGAAATGCGACCACATTTCACCAAAATTTCTCGGCGCCATATAGAGAACTAGAGCCTGTGAGGTACTGATACTATCCATGTACCTCGCAGGCTCTAGTTCCAAGCCAAAATGGCTAAAAATTGCCCGCAATTGTTCACATTGCGGGCAATTTTTAGCCATTTTGGCTGGGAATTGGAGGGTGAGAGTAGTATTGTATGAAATAATATCTCTCACCCTCCAATTCATCCTATGGCGCCGAAAAAATTTTGGTGAAATGCGACCACATTTCACCAAAATTTCTCGGCGCCATATAGAGAACTAGAGCCTGTGAGGTACTGATACTATCCATGTACCTCGCAGGCTCTAGTTCCAAGCCAAAATGGCTAAAAATTGCCCGCAATGTGAACAATTGCGGGCAATTTTTAGCCATTTTGGCTGGGAATTGGAGGGTGAGAGTAGTATTGTATGAAATAATATCTCTCACCCTCCAATTCATCCTATGGCGCCGAAAAAATTTTGGTGAAATGCGACCACATTTCACCAAAATTTCTCGGCGCCATATAGAGAACTAGAGCCTGTGAGGTACTGATACTATCCATGTACCTCGCAGGCTCTAGTTCCAAGCCAAAATGGCTAAAAATTGCCCGCAATGTGAACAATTGCGGGCAATTTTTAGCCATTTTGGCTGGGAATTGGAGGGTGAGAGTAGTATTGTATGAAATAATATCTCTCACCCTCCAATTCATCCTATGGCGCCGAAAAAATTTTGGTGAAATGCGACCACATTTCACCAAAATTTCTCGGCGCCATATAGAGAACTAGAGCCTGTGAGGTACTGATACTATCCATGTACCTCGCAGGCTCTAGTTCCAAGCCAAAATGGCTAAAAATTGCCCGCAATTGTTCACATTGCGGGCAATTTTTAGCCATTTTGGCTGGGAATTGGAGGGTGAGAGTAGTATTGTATGAAATAATATCTCTCACCCTCCAATTCATCCTATGGCGCCGAAAAAATTTTGGTGAAATGCGACCACATTTCACCAAAATTTCTCGGCGCCATATAGAGAACTAGAGCCTGTGAGGTACTGATACTATCCATGTACCTCGCAGGCTCTAGTTCCAAGCCAAAATGGCTAAAAATTGCCCGCAATGTGAACAATTGCGGGCAATTTTTAGCCATTTTGGCTGGGAATTGGAGGGTGAGAGTAGTATTGTATGAAATAATATCTCTCACCCTCCAATTCATCCTATGGCGCCGAAAAAATTTTGGTGAAATGCGACCACATTTCACCAAAATTTCTCGGCGCCATATAGAGAACTAGAGCCTGTGAGGTACTGATACTATCCATGTACCTCGCAGGCTCTAGTTCCAAGCCAAAATGGCTAAAAATTGCCCGCAATGTGAACAATTGCGGGCAATTTTTAGCCATTTTGGCTGGGAATTGGAGGGTGAGAGTAGTATTGTATGAAATAATATCTCTCACCCTCCAATTCATCCTATGGCGCCGAAAAAATTTTGGTGAAATGCGACCACATTTCACCAAAATTTCTCGGCGCCATATAGAGAACTAGAGCCTGTGAGGTACTGATACTATCCATGTACCTCGCAGGCTCTAGTTCCAAGCCAAAATGGCTAAAAATTGCCCGCAATGTGAACAATTGCGGGCAATTTTTAGCCATTTTGGCTGGGAATTGGAGGGTGAGAGTAGTATTGTATGAAATAATATCTCTCACCCTCCAATTCATCCAAAGGCTAATATTTTCTACATTTCCATAACATTCATTTCAACGGAAACTCATTCAAAATTCTATATATTTAATTTTTCAATCTTATTCAATTTCATATTCAAAATTAATTTGAATTACATTCAAAACATTTATACCTTATTAATAACATAATATCATTTGTTATCAATATACCAATTCGGCTGTTCTAATTTTGGATTCCCATTCATAAATTGATCAATCTATATTGAAACTTATTCAAATTATTTTCTTATTGATAACATTTTATTTTTATTTGTCTTCAACTATTCATTTATTTTATCATTATTTTTCGATTTTTTTTAGTTTCAATTTTTTTATTATCTTTATTGTTTTTTATTTTTCTAATTTTTAAAAATTTCTGCTTAGAATCTTAATCTCATTTTATTTTTCAATAAAAATTCATGTTTACCAATATTCAATCACTTTTCTCGTTCCCCAAATTTTTATTTTATCTTAATCGTTACTAATTTCTAACACATTCTTTTATAAAAATTATTCTGATCGTAATTTTAATTTCGCCATTGTAGTTATTCACTAATTTTTAGTTCATTGTTGTTTTCTCATTGTCCAATTTTATTTTCTTCACTTTAAAGATTTTTTAAAAAATTTTACAATTTGAATTCAACTTTTGTGAAAAATATTTTTTCAATAATATCTTTCAAAATTATTTATATTTTCTATATTTTATTCAATTGTTCACAATTTATTATTTATTCAAAATTCATTCTCCTGGATATTTATACCCAAATAGACTTTCACTGGCTAGAGCAATCTCTAACCAGGTTACACCAACATCAAAAGCTATCGTTGCTATTGACTAATGTTCCACTCAGCGATGGTACATCACGTAATTGCATTAACAAGTTAACATACTACAAAAGCCTTCTGTGCTTTCGTCTTATTACTATCGAAGAGTTTTACAAGCACTCGTCCAGAGAATTTACAAGTTTATACATATTCCATAATGGAAAATTCTACAATTGCATTGAAGTCTTACCAACAAAAGATGAGATCTTGTTGAATCGATACTTGGAAGAACAAGAAATTACAAAGAGTAATGGTTCTACTCCTCTTAGTAGTGCACAACAACAGCTCAGACCCAGCAATGGTACATCTCCTCTTAGTAGTGCACAACAACAGCTCAGACCCAGCAATGGTACATCTCCTCTTAGTAGTGCACAACAACAGCTCAGACCCAGCAATGGAATTCCAAGATGAGGAAGAAGAAATCGATAATAAAGATGGTAAAAAAAAGAAGGAGGGACAAAGTGAAGAATATGAAGGTGGATATGAAGAAGAATATGAAATAAATTATGAAGAAGATAATGATGAATAAAATATCACTTTTTATATTTTTGACACGTAAAGTTGTCACTTTTCTGTCAAACTGTTTTTATCGTTTTCGTATATAACAGTTTCAGTTCCTTCTGTAGGTTCTGTTGGAGTTTCTGCATCTCTTGACTTCAATGCTCTTGCTCTCAAAGACCTAAATGTTAGAGCACCAGGCTTTACAAAGGACTTTATAAATGCTTTAATAGTTCCTGGTAAGTTATTGTTAGCATTAAGTAAGTTCCTTATGCTTCCATCATGTACGTCCATAGCGCTATGTAAAAAATCTATACTTTTCTTGTAGTCAGCAATAGACTGACTGTGATTTTTTAAAGATTTGTCAATACCTTTAAGCCAATCTTCATGCATGTCTGATACTGAGCCAAGAATATCATTTGCTTCCTTTAGTGTATTTTGTGCTTCTCGTAAAGTATCCAATCCCGTACGTGCATTGTTTGCTATACGCCTTACAGTATCTATTTGACTCCTTGTTTCTTGCATCCAACCAGATAAAGTTTTAATAGTATCCGAACCATTTGAAATGAAGTTCAAAGCATTTTTAACGTCATCTAAAGCTTCTTCACCAAGTACCGCCCATATCTTTCCGATTTGGTATTGAAGAACTCCATATGAAGCAGCTGTTAAACCAGTATTTATAAGGTCCCATATCCATGATTTAGCAGTTTTTCCATCCTTTCCATCCTTTCCATCCTTTTCATCCAAACCGTTT